GAGAGAGAGAGAGAGAGAGAGAGAGAGAGAGAGAGAGAGAGAGAGAGAGAAAGAAAGAGAGAGATGAGAGAAAGAGAGAGATGAGATGAGGGGAGCGTGTGATTATAGAGAAGACATATAAATGAGAGGAATAATTATAATGATAGGTAATTTGAGATAGACACAATCAATATAGATGGACTACAGGATGAGGCCTGGGGGGGGGAGGCAGTGCCGGATCCACGATTTCCAGGAGGGGTGATAGATAGATGGGGGGTCTGGGGGTTCTCCCCGCAGAAAATTTTGAAAATGTAGATTGCAGGAGATGGTATTTGAGGCACTTTTAAGTACATGTACAGCCTTCATTCTGACTACGACAATTCTCTTTTAGTTGAACTTTTTTTTTTCGGCTCCAAAATCTAGGGAGGCAGCCGCCCCCCTTGCCCCCTGCAGGCTACGGCACTAGTCGGTTCTACCCGCGACACAGTAATTAATTGGATTTCTATCAGACATTGGAACTATTATTTTCGTCACGTTTATGTCATTTGTACAGACACACACACACACGCGCGCGCTCACACATACACACAAACACACGCACACACTATCTATAAAAGCAGCCGGCTAGGCGTTCTCACCTTGATTATGAATGATTGATTGATGATTGATCGATTGATTGATTGATTGATTGATTGATTGATTGATGACGATGAATGATTGGTTGCAGGCTATAACAAAAGGGGCCGGTGTTGATGTCATCTTTGAGCTGGTGGCCAGTGTAAACGCCGTCAAAGACCAAAAGATACTTAAGAAAGGTGGAACTCTTCTGGTACGTATCGTCTGTTCTTGCTGGTCCGTAAACGATTCATTTCACTAAGTCATTTACTTTCTTTGTCCTTCTTTGTTCGGAATATATAATTGTTTAAATAATTCATTATTTTATAAATTAGTTATTAATGAATTAATTCACGAATTCATTGCGCTAATTAAATCATTGCTAGTTCATTATCGGCTAATATCAATATTATCGTGTTACTCTGTTCGCTGTTTAAATATGGATTTAGCCGTTGCTACGACGACCGACATAATTCGGCCAATAACAGCGCTATGGCACATAATATGTGCACCACTATGACTAATGAGTTACTGGCAATGAGTAGCATACTTTGAACCAAGACACTTGAACTGGGCACAATATCAGCCTATTTTTAGGGCTGAACTAGGATGTTGGGCGAATGAGAAATCTGCTTCACGCTCCCTTCATAGATATATCCAGTGATATGGGTTAGCATTGCAAGAAAGACGCCGTATAGCCAGGCACGTAGCCAGGGGGGTTCGGGGGGTTCGAACGAACCCCCCTTCCCGAGCCCTCCCCCAAGCCAAAATTTTTTGTTGTTGAAAATTTGCAAGAATTTCACCTCAGGTCGCTCCATTTTAGTGTAATAATTGCAAAATCTCATCTCTCTCTCTCTCTATATATATATATATGTATATATATATATTGTGTTACCGATGCTCCGCGCATGGGAAGCCAGGTGTACGTAGATACAACACACCTGTAGCAGCTGATTGTTGTTGTTGTCCGCAGGTACTGGTCAAGGTGCACGCCTACGGTCCGAACCCCATCGACGTGCTCATCCGTGCCGGCCACTTCCCGCCGCCGCCCTTCGTCACCGGCGGCGGCAGCGTGCCGTACACCGACGGCATGGACGGTGCCGGCACGGTCGAGAGCGTCGGATCCAAGGTCAAACATCTGAAGGTCAGTGATCCCATCCGACACGACGCTGGTTGTTGTTGTTGTTGTTGTTGTTGTTGTTGTTGTAGTTAGGACAGATGTGCGCATGCGCGCGGCAGTTCATACCTAAACTGGCTAAATAAGAACTTAACTTACTTGTTTTACAGTGGTAGTAATGTTCACTAATGAGAAGTACTACCATATGGGTATCTGCGGTATCCTACCATAGATTCGGGCCTCGTGTATGTTAGGACCGGCTGTGAGAACAAGTATAGATAACGACAAGTGTTAATAGTATATACATGTATGTACAATGTAATACTCTTAATAATAATACATTATGTGTAACAACACACATGTGTAGCGTTTTAAGATCTTCCGGCGACACCCGATGGCGCCACCGGTCGAAACGTAGTGACTATAGCAACAACCTTAGGTATCTCACTCAATTGTGCTTGGAGGCGTTGAAATGGCCGTATCGTCGCCACCCGGACTCCGCTAGCCACCCGAGCGCCTCAGTGCTACTGCGCTCCCACCGCGATAACCCGTTCCACTGTGTTCTGGTTCCGGTGCATCGTGTAGTTAGTCAACAATGCAAGACGAGTAATGACACGCACACACACAACAACGGGGTGACCCCACCCTGCCTGCTGGCCTTACGTTACGTTGAATAACAAGTGTACACCCGGGGTGTGCACAGAGGTTAAACAAATAGAATGAACTATGAACGCAGCCGGGCAAAGGGCTACAGTAACCGGCAGCCTCCCTTCCCGTGCAGCCGTGCACGAATAGACTAACTTCCCCTCTATTTGTGCAGAGTTAATACTTCTACTCCAGTACTGTATTATTTACTCGCCCCACAACAACAGGACAATACGACAGTGCCTACTCACCAATTAACTGACGCGCGTGTCTCTCTTACCCATGAGGCAAGCCACGTCAAACATCCGTGACCGTACAGTACCTCTACCACGGGTACTCGTACGCTAACTGTCACCATACTGTAGTGGCCCTAGGGGTGGCCGACTACGGTTCGACAGATGTTATTTCGTAACGCGTGTCCAGTAGTGGGATTCAGTGTCCGCTCCTGCCGGTGTATTAGGCAGGACGGTGATGTCACGTAGCAGATAACAGATAGCACCAGTTAAACAGAACACGCTGAGATTCGGTTAACGGTACGGTTATATAGCTTTTATTGCGTGTTACTAGTGTACAAATGATTCCCCTGCATTCGTATATGCAGCGGACCTTCTATCGATCTCGTCTAATATTTACGCGTCGCCGGTTTCGTCTTCTTCCCTCACGTTCGTCCTAGCTTCGCGTGGACCTAAGCAGTCTCCCAGGTAACTTCCTCGCAGTCGCTCCTAGCTCTACCAGAATGCCGTTCTTCGCTGTGCTCGTTTTATTCCCCTCTCCCGTTCGGCTCCGGTTTACACCTACCTGAAAACCTGTGCTTCTATCCTCTCTGACGCTTTCTCGCTCCCTCTCTTCCTCCTCTCCTTTCTCTTCCCGTTTCCCTACCTAACCTATACCTGAAAAATAACTCTCCCTCTTTCTCTTCTTCCTCGGCTGCTTCCTCTCCTTCTTCTTCTTCCTCTTCCTCTTTTTCCTAGACCTGTACCTAACTACCTCCTTCCTCTTTCTCTTCGTCCTCTTCTTCTTCTTCTTCTTCCTACTGCTCTGTTCGGCACGCCTTATATACCTAGCTGGCAACGCACAGATTTCGTTCACTGGCGCAATCACTGTGGTGCAATCCTTTCACCTGCTGACTCAATCACCGTGGTGGGTACGGATTATTGCATCATCTCATGCAACCCATGCCTAAGTAACTATTCCTTGTTTTCCCCCGACAGGCAGCAGCACCAGCAGTGTTAGCATGATCCAAGATGGCCGCGCCCAGGCATTGATATTTACATGCTGTCTATATTTTATCCTGCTTTTAGTCTATATATATGGTTATTCCATCTATACTGTGAGTTCAATCTATCCCTCCTGATCTAGTCTACTGCTCCTGTAAGTTACACACCCCCGAAATCTCCACAATACAACCACACACAGCTCAACAAGCCTCTCCACTCCATGCACACTCACGGAGTGGACGAGACTACATACTACCTGACGAGTCCTCCCTCAACCGATTCCCGGGACGAACTGCACTACAAGTTCTCCCTCAATCGATACCAGAGCCGAACTAACTGCGTATCTTCACACGGCCCTACCACACCACTAGCTGTTCATACGGCCCGCGCCACTCTCTGCCGCTAGAGGGGGGACTACCGCACACAACATGGCGGCCCCCATGTAGGGACTCGTCTATCTACATCGTTAATTGATGAGCCGGCAAAACACCACGAAAACGCACACTAATAGACAGCAGACATCACAAATAATTATACAGTCACAAACACGAAACATTAACCTATACCCGGTTCCCAGGGAGCTACCCCCCCACCGTACTGGGAACCCGAGGGTCCGGTGCCACCGCTACACTCCTCCCCCCTTCAAGATCGACCGTCAGGACGATCTCAAAAACATACCTAGCGGTGCACCGGCACCCGACGTAGAGGAGACCAGCTGGATCTATCTCGGTGCTGGCCTGTCATCCTCTGCGCCTTCCTCGCCGATCGCCGACGCTGCCTCCCTGAGCGTCGCTGCACGTGCGGCGGCACTTCTCACCGGTGCACGGGGTGGGGTTGTGAGCCCTACTGTGCTCGTGCCCGGGCGGTCAGCCTGCTTCGCCGCCAAGCCCCTCTGTGCCTTTCTGCCCTGTTCCCCATTCACCGGGGCGGGCCCGGCTCCCTCCTGCCGGGGACCAGGGTGGGGTGGCTCCCGCTGGCCGTCCCGAACCCCTGGTGCAGGGCACTGCTCCTCCACGATAGACACTCCACCGTCGCCAACGGCGGGTCCCTCGCAGGCCACCACTACCTTGTCCCTCGCCGCCGCTGTCTCCTCAGCTGTCGGGGAGTCGCTCGTCGCTTCCGCAGATGGCGAAGCTCCGGCGGGGATCACACTGCCTGGATGAGCGTCTTGACAACTGCGGCACGCTTCTCTCTGGACGCCAACTCGGCCCCTGCCACTGGGGTCACCATCACTGTCAGGGGGAACAATAGCAGCTCGTCCACGAAGGGCATCTCTGCGCGCCCATCGCCGAGCTCCATCGCCTCCAGTTTCTCCTCGCCGAGCAGATCCTCCTCCCGAACCTGCTTCCCGGCCTCCGGCGCAGCTCCTCCCTCAGGCTGCCTCCTTCGTTCTCCTGAAATGAGCAACTCACACGTACATTTCGGTAATCAAACAGGCCTTCCCCTACCAGTCTGAAATACGTCAGAGTTTACAAACCACACCCTCGACCATCACGTGATGCGGATTTCGGAGTTTTTAAGGAAAACTCCGGAATCCGTCTCAAACTCCGACACTAACGGGGAACAAACCCCAAATTCGTTCCGATCAAGGGTAATAAATCTGAATGCCCGTGGGTGAGTAGCGCGGTACCAGCCAGCTAGAGAACACACGTGACGCAACTACCTCGGGTGCTCCCAAACAGATGCCCGAATCAGTGTGGTGCTACATTTTTATGGAGCATATGGGGGTTGTCGCTTGGCCGACCAACACGGTCCGTAGCAGTCTGGAACCCGCACCCCGTCCCTACCCCGCAACATGGCCGGCCCAGTGGCCACCATATCTGCGTTAGCCACGGATCAGGAACTCCGAGAGCCCCTACAAGTCCGCCCAAAACAAGCTACTGGCGAGAGACTGTCATCCTGGCCCCCCACGGAGCTCCGGATGCCCAGAGTTGCGCCTGGCCATAGCGGCACCACGCACCTGGGAACCAGTCCAGCTGCAGCTTACACTGCTACCAAGCGCTCAAGCAAGGTGAGGTAGTATTATCAGAAACACCCCGGAAGAGGGGAACACACTGGATATATCGGCATCACCAGGCCTGTCCCGCAGACCGAAACGCCGCAACCCGGGCAGCACAGACAGCATAGCCTCCCGAAATGCTATGACGAGCCCTGAAACACTCGGCCTGACAATAACCAGGAGAATAATCCACCGAAGACAGTCATGACACACACGACATCCAGGGTTACCTTACCGCACCAAGAATTAACATGGCACAACAACATTATCCGGGAATTACAGACTGCATGGAATTGTTACCAATCATGGCAAGCGAATAGACTGTCGTTACCCGAACGCGAACTAGCTACCATTATATGGCTTGCTCCCACGAACCAACAGTCACTCCTCGGTCTGAGAGCACAACTACGGGGACGCATATCCGTAGTGACACGGAGCTTTCACTAATCTCTTGCCTGGTGTACGTTGCACCGGGTTAGAGAACTCAAAACCTCCCAACCGGTCCCTCGATTGCCCAGCTACCAGTGTACCTCCCCAGAACCAATCTGAGGGCCAACCACCTGACGCAACTTTACCGCTTGTGTCTTGAGGCTAGAACGAGAAAATCCTGAGCCATCATACTCGTCCGACTCTGTATCATCCTTCACCTGGGAATCCGTGCCGCGCAGATCATTTGCGATTTGACCCGCCACGTTCCCCGGACCACCAAGACCCATCAACAACCTCTGCGTCAACACCATCAGCCCTATCCGCCAACCAGGAGACTGGCGCACTCGCACCTTTGTAGACATACAGGTTATCTACGCCAACAACCCTCACTACATCATCTGGGGAAGCTTAAACCCACCAACCGTTATCTCGTCGCTCATTAACAACCTTTACCCAGCAAAGAGACCTGACTCAATCAACTGCTGCAGAAGCCTCCTAATTGAATAACAGCCTTACCCGAGAAGGGCTCCCCTTAACCATACCTAGACCAAATTTCTGAGGAAACCCCGGAGAAACAGCCGAGCCACCAACGGCAACCATTCAGCGCGTGCTGCTGCCACATAGTCGTTGAGCAGAGCAAACCATGCGACTGGCTCACGACGACGTGGGGACGTCCTTAACAATTCCCGCTCTTTTCCTGGAGAAGGGGTCACTGGCGGAGTAAAACTAGCCTCCACGGCCCACCACCCGTGTCTCAACAACGACCCTGTAAAAATCAGTAAGTAAGTAATGTAAACATCTGTAAAGGTCAGGTGCAATTACCACGCCTAGATGTCGCCTCTCACGAGCGGCACCATTAGGCGGCATCTCACGCCGCTCTCCCGTCAAGCGTCAACTAACAAAACCACTCTACGACTAATACGCAACCGGCAAACCACGGCACCAAATGCAACCACTGTTACAAAGAGTCTGCAACTGGCAAGCCCACCAGTGTAGCCGAAGTTACACTGGTCACTGGCACGGCACCACTGTAGCGTTTTAGGATCTTCCGGCGACACCCGATGGCACCATCGGTCGAAACGTAGTGACTATCAACAACCTTAGGTATCTCACTCACCTGTTGTGCCCGGAGGCATTGAAATGGCCGTATTGTTGCCACCCGGACTCCGCTAGCCACCTGAGCGCCTCAGTGCTACTGCGCTCCCACCGCAATAACCCGGTCCACTGTGTTCCGGTTCCGGTGCGTCGTGTAGTTAGTCAACAATGCAAGACGAGTAACGACACGCACACACACAACAACGGGGTGACCCCACCCTGCCTGCTGGCCTTACGTTACGTTGAATAACAAGTGTATACCCGGGGTGTGCACAGAGGTTAAACAAATAGAATGAACTATGAACGCAGCCGGGCAAAGGGCTACAGTAACCGGCAGCCTCCCTTCCCGTGCAGCCGTGCACGAATAGACTAACTTCCCCTCTATTCGTGCATAAGAGTTAATACTTCTACTCTAGTACTGTATTATTTACTCGCCCCACAACAACAGGACAATACGACAGTGCCTACTCACCAATTAACCAACGCGCTTGTCTCTCTCACACATGAGGCAAGCCACGTCAAACACCCGTACAGTACCTCTACCACGGGTACTCGTACGCTAACTGTCACCATACAACCACACACAGCTCAACAAGCCTCTCCACACCATGCACACTAGTGGACGAGACTACATACTACCTGAAGAGTCCTCCCTCAACCGATTCCAGCACAGAACTGCGTACCGTGTGTCCACACGGCACTACACTAGCTGTTCACACGGCCCGCGCCACTCACGGCCGCTAGAGGGGGTGGCTAACCCAACATGGCTGCCCCCATGTAGGGACTCGTCTATCTACATCGGTAATTGATGAGCCGGCAAAACACCACGAAAACGCACACTAATAGACAGCAGACATCACAAATAATTATACAGTCACAAACACGGAACATTAACCCATACTCCGGTTCCCAGGGAGCTACCCCCCACCATACGCGTACTGGGAACCCGAGGGTCCGGTGCCACCGCTACACATGTATTATCAACTCTTGATAACGACACGCTAGTATGTACGCTTACAATCTCGGATGCAAAAAAAAAAATCTCGGATGCGGATCCCGGATCGTTCGCGTGCCATTGCGTCGTATCTTAGCAGAGATCTTAATTCATGGCTTCATGGCTTCGTGCTCACGTGATCGCGCTTCGTGATTTCAGAAAGGTGAACGCGTCTTCTGGCTGTTCAGCGCTACGGGAACATGCGCCGAATACGCCCTAATCGACGCCAAATTCGTCTTCCATCTATCGCCGAAGTTGAGCTATACGCAGGGAGCTGCGCTGGGCATTCCTTTTCTGACTGCACTGCGAGTCATCGACATCAAGTGAGTGAGAGCTGTGTGTGCGTGTGACTGAGTACAGCATGAGTCACTGTGGTGGATGTGTAGTGTAGTATTCTTACATGCGTCATATTGATTAGCTGTGTACAGTGTCTAGTATATAGCAGTGCTCAATTTTAAGGTTTTTTGGGAAGTTGTTCGGAGGACAACCAAGAGAGTAGCATATGGTTGTCCCTAAAGAGTTTTGGTTGTCCGGATATTATTCAAACATGTGCTGCATGCGCTCTGCTCACGTGCTCAGTGCTGTAAAGCAAAAGGCCTATAATCATGTACATTTTGTACGTATTGCAGTGACAGCAGACATGGCCATTCGCATTGTTTCACTCATTATATGAAGAGAATAAAATATTGGTAATGTGGTAAATGATGCTGGGATGAATGACGTATAATAATAGTAATTAAAAGTTGCATGAAATTTATTTCATAACATTTACATTAACACTGTGTCAAGTCACAGATGAGCAAAAATTGAAAATTAACAAATTAAAAAATAAATTTTAAAATAAATTTAGAGGTTGGACACCGGACAACCACGGAAGCAATTTGTAGTTGCCCGAGAGAAAATCCTGTTAGAAAATCCTGAAGAGACTGTTAAAATTGAGCACTGTATAGTGTATAGTGTCAGGCAGCGATGGAATTCGATCCCAAAACGTTAATTATTTTTTTCACTGCCCTAGCTAGTTCTCTTGTTAGAATTATTTATTGAGTATAGTTGTATTATTTATAATACTATTTATTAATATAGAATTCCGTCTATTGAGACGCCGGGAAATCACGCGGTTTTATGGCATTATGCACGAAAATTCAAACGACGTTTTATTAAATCTGCAACACTGCTAAAGCACTATCGTGTTCATGTAAATGATTCCTTATGCCAAGGAACCGCGTGTAATAGAACCAGGAGTGTCTTAATATAGACATCATCAGTGTCTATAATTATTATGACGCTCCTAGAATGCATAATTAATGTATAATTAATGTATAATTAATGTATAATTAATCTATACACTTGATCACCTGTTTGCACCTGACCCTTAAATTAAGCCTCAGCCACACTGGGGCCGGACTGTCCACGGATTACCGCGGATGGGGCAGGATCTCCCCGGACCGTAAAATTTATAATCCGTGGCGATCCGGGTGAAAAAATTACGAGACGGTCGAAAAAAAGCATCATCGGGCCGGATCAGGTCGGACCAGCACGGCAGCGCCACGGACCATCCTGGATTAAGCCCGGATGAAGCCGGCCCCAGCACGGAGTGACTATACGGACCGCCCCGGCCAGCTCCGGACTGCCTCGGACCACCACGGACCTGATCCGGCCTGGTCCGGCCCCATCCTGGCCCATCCGTGCTCATCAGTGTTCCCATCCGTGTTGGGTCCGACTTGATCCGTAGTGATCCGTGGCCGACAAAAACGACACGGATGGCCACGGATGGGCCCGGTTCAACACGGTGCCACTACGGACTGTTCCGGACCTACCACGGACGCGCCACGGACCGTCCAGGACCACCCCGGATGGGGAAAATTTCCCGGACCGTCCCGAATCACCCCGGAAATTTTAAACAGTTTAACACTTCCGGGGCGATATCCCGGAATACGCAGGACCATCAAGGACCACCCCGGACCGGCCCGGACCGTCCAGGACCGTCCAGGACCCAACAAGGATCTCTCCCCGGATCAGTCCGGTAGCGTCCGGCCCGGTCCGGGAGCTTGGTGTGACTGTAGCTTAAGACTGCTACGATGAGGAAATTTGTTTCTTTCTTTCTCTCCAAGGGCGCACGCAAAGAAAGGGACGACCGAATGCTCATCCACGGAGCTAGTGGCGCGGTACGTTTACTCGATTACCATTCCGTCGCCGCATTTCATTTTTATCGACATTGCTCTTTAAAGCAGCGCGATGCACAGTAGACACACAATGCTCTACATATTATATATATATATATATATATATATATATATATATATATATATGATTTAATAATATTACCTATGTATGTACTAATATATGTACTATATATGTATATATATAATATGTAGTAGCATTCTTACTGCTAATATGCCTTCACTGTCACGGATGTCATATGAACACATATGTTCATCTATGTTCGCTTTCATGAAGCCGTGATTGGTAGTGGAAGCCCTAGGCACCGTTAAGCAATCACGGGCTCTATTTACCTCCGCCAAGGGTTGGCAGGGATTATGTTTTCACCGGCGTGTGTTTGACTGTTTGTTTGTGGGTTTGTGGGTTTGTTTGTGTTTCTTTTTTTTTGTTTCTCGAGCACGCACACACATGCGTATATATACAAACACACGCGCGCACACACACGCACACACTCGCGCACGGAAAATGCATACGCCCCTGCTAGTACCGATAGACGCGCATGCACGCATACACACGCAACACTCACGCACGCACACACACGCGCGCACTCACGCACGCACATACACACACGCACTCACGCACGAACACGCGCACTAGCGCAAGTACAGCACACGCACTCACACACTCACGCACGTACGCACTCACACTCACGCACGCACACACGCACACACGCGTAGGCAGGTCTAGGACCCCGGGCTGAGCGTTAATTCGTTGTTCTGCAGGTGGGACTGCTGGCCGTACAAATCGCTAAGCTGCGAGTCTGAATGTCATCGCTCTGCGGGTACGGCTGAAGTATTAGAGCTGGTACGAAAGTGCGGCGCAGACCACGTCGTTAACCACAGAGACGCAGAGAGACTCGGCAGACAGATCCTGGTATGTGTCTATAATTGCATATATTATATATATATATTATATTGCATATATTATATATTGTATATATATTAGCCTATGTTCGTATATAGGCACAGCACACACACCACACACCACACACCACACACACACAACACACACCATACCAAGCGTACGAATCGGTCAGACAGACATGGGATAAATAGAGAGAGATGGACAACCAGAGAAAGACACAAGAGAGAGAGAGGGAGGGAGAGACAGAGGGGAAGAGACAGAGACAGAAACACAGAGCCCAGAGACAGAGACAGAGACAGGAAGAGAGAGATGAGAGAGACGGAGAGAGATGAGAGGAGAGAGAGAGAGAGAGAGGGAGGAGGGAGGTAGGAGAGACAGAGACAGAGACAGAGCACAGAGAGCGAGAGAAGAGAGAGCAGACGAGAGAGAGCTGCCGCGCGAGAGGAGAGAGAGAGAAGAGAGAGCAGCTAGAGAGAGAGAGAGAGAGAGAGAGAGAGAGAGAGCAGAGAGGACGTGAGAGAGAGAGAGAGAGAAAGAGAGAGAGAGAGAGAGAGAGAGCAGAGAGAGAGAGAGAGAGAAAGAAAGAAGAAGATGAGAGAAAGAGAGAGATGAGATGAGGGGAACGGTGTGATTATAGAGAGAACATATAAATGAGAGAATAATTATAATGATAGGTAATTTGAGCATAGACACAATCAATATAGATGGACTTACAGGATGAGGCCGGGGGGGAGGCAGTGCCGGATCCACGATTTCCAGGAGGGTGTGATAGATAGATGGGGGCGTCTGGGGGTTCTCCCCGCAGAAAATTTTGAAAATGTAGATTGCAGGAGATGAGGTATTGAGGCACTTTTAAGTACATGTACAGCCTTCATTCTTGACTACAACAATTCTCTTTTAGTTGAACTTTTTTTTTCGGCTCCAAAATCTAGGGAGGCAGCCGCCCCCCTTGCCCCCTGCAGGCTACGGCACTAGTCGCCGTTCTACCCGCGACACAGTAATTAATTTGGATTTCTATCAGACATTGGAACTATTATTTCGTCACGTTTATGTCATTTGTTACAGACACACACACACACGCGCGCGCTCACCACATACACACAAACACACGCACACACTATCTATAAAAGCAGCGGCTAGGCGTCTCACCTTGATTATTGAATGATTGATATGCATGATTGATCGAATTGGATTGATTTTGATTGATTGTATGATTGATGATGACGATGAATGATTGGTTGCAGGCTATAACAAAAGGGGCCGGTCGTTGATGTCATCTTTGAGCTGGTGGCCAGTGTAAACGCCGTCAAAGACCAAAAGATACTTAAGAAAGGTGGAACTCTTCTGGTACGTATCGTCTGTTCTTGCTGTGTCCGTAAACGATTCATTTTACTAAGTCATTTACTTTCTTTGTCCTTCTTTGTTCGGAATATATAATTGTTTAAATAATTCATTATTTTTTAAATTAGTTATTAATGAATTAATTCACGAATTCATCGTGCTAATTAAATCATTGCTAGTTCATTATCGACTAATATCAATATTATCGTGTTACTCTGGTCGCTGTTTAAATATGGATTTAGCCGTTGCTACGACGACCGACATAATTCGGCCAATAACAGCGCTATGGCACATAAATATGTGCACCACTATGACTAATGAGTTACTGGCAATGAAGTAGCATACTTTGAACCAAGACACTTGAACTGGGCACAATATCAGCCTATTTTTAGGGCTGAACTAGGATGTTGGGCAGATGAGAAATCTGCTTCACACTCCCTTCATAGATATATCCAGTGATATGGGTTGTCATTGCAGAAAAGACGCCGTATAGCAGGCCACGTAGCCAGGGGGGTTCGGCGGGCGTTCGAACGAACCCCCTTCCCGAGCCCTCCCCAAGCCAAAATTTTTTGTTTGTTGAAAATTTGCAAGAATTTCACCTCAGGTCGCTCCATTTTAGTGTAATAATTGCAAAATCTCTATCGTGCGCGAGGGTGAACAGTGAACACCCCCTCCCACACCCTCCCCCGCTCGGTCGCTGTGCCCCCTCGCCTGGTCGCTTCGCGCCCGAGCAGGGGCGTGTACAGGGGGGGTCCAGGGAGTCCGGACCCCCCTTGCTCGCGCAGAAAACGCATCTGAGGGGGTCTAATTTTAAAAATGACACCCCCCTTTGCGTCGCTCGCAACTTTGGTTACGGTTAGACCCTCCCCCCCCCCTCGGTACAAATCCTGTACACGCCCCTGCCGAGCAAATTGCCAACATTGAAAAACGAACCCCCCCCCCAATATAAAGCTGGCTACGGGCCTGGTATAGCAATAAACAGCATTGCCCTACGCGTTAGCGAGATCAAAGGTGATTCTCAGGACTATATATCAATGTACTCATGAGCTTCGAAGGCCCTGTGCGTTTCTTCCTCTATAGATTTTCATGTTTGTTCTTCTATAGGTTGTAGGCACTAAGGAATACGGTGGCATGGGCTACTTGGACATTGGAGCACTGATAGGCTTGGAATTTGTCATCATCGGACAGGCCATATTCAGCGTTACGGACGTACGTGCGCAGCTATCGCTAGTATTCAAACACGTGTGCCATTCTGTAATCGAACCAGTTAGTTTACAGATTGCGCACAAGAGGGCGTTGTCGTGAGGGTTTAACTAGGGACTCTAGGTTTAACTTTCATCCGTTATTATTATTTTGTTTGTTTGTTTATTTGTTTTTCATATGTCGTGCGGGTTTAACTTTCCACCGTTGCCATTACTTTTTTTGTTATTTGTTTGTTTGTTTATTTGACTTTCATTTATCGTGCGGATTTAACTTTCCTCCATTACCATTACTTCATTTATTAATTTGTTTATTAATTTATTTGTTTAACTCTCCTCTTCTTTAACCTCGTTATTTACAGGAGGAGCTGAAGACGATGCGTCGTGACATCGATCTCATGCAGAAGAACAACGAGGTGAAGCCCATCGTCGCCAACGTCTACTGCATGGAGGACGTCGCTCAGGCGCACTTCGACTCGCTCGCCGGCGCAGGCTCCCGCGGCAAGCTCGTCGTGAGCATCATTCCCGAGGCAAAGGACAGCGTGAAGTTCTGAGATGGATCTCCTACGCTTAGATTTCATCCGTAACATCGGGGCGGTGGATGGTTTCGATCGTCTAGCGGCGGGGGAGGGATATTTGCGCGTTCGGTTAGGTTTTTCGCTCTTGTAGTCCGCTGTCGTAGCTCGTCGTAGCTGATCGTAGCTCGGGGGAAGCAGGCGCGCTGGGGCAGCTGGGACAGATCAGGAGAGCGTCTCCCTTGGACGTGGTCATATAGTACGCGAGGGAGGAGGAGAAAGAGATTGCACAGCGAGTAGACAGTTCCTTAGGATCACCTTACATACATTCGTAGATCACCTTATCCTGTCCAGACAGTAGGCATCCATTCTGCTGCGATGTTCGCGAGATTTCATAGTGAACACAGGGTTACATTTACACTATAATCATAGAAACGTATATATATGCTAATTAGACCACCTATACAATTTTGTGCTGATAGAACTTTACACGCATTATATCAAGAGCCCATTAACCCCTTACCATTACCATTACCTTACCATTACCTTACCATTACCATTACCATTACCTTACCATTACCGTTAAAGGGGTTAATGGGCTCTTGATTATATGTATTACACGCATCGACAAATTCAGGTCCGGTCCCGCGAGTCTGATAGGTAGGATATATAATACTTATCATAAACCAGGGTAAATATCTTTATCGAGATATTTGTGATATTTGAGCTGCGCCATGACGTATCGTTGGGTGCATGCTATGATTGGTTGTGCAGGGGTAGATACACTACTACTTAATGTTGTATGAATGTCGTCTCTGTGTTACTTGTACACACTACCTGTGTCCATTTTCTACGTAAGGTGAGCACTCCCAGTTTTCACTAGAGGTCGTGTACGTAGGATTCCGTGTACGAATTCTCTCTACTACGGGACTGATCGTTTAGGCTCCTTGTGCTATCTTATATATGTAAAGTTGTTCAGCCGAATTAGTCCGTACTCGCATAACTAGAGAACTCCACAGCCTAGAGGAAAACTAAAGATATTTAAACTAGTTGAGAAACAATCTTATCAGGTAAGAATTTGACGATACGTTTAGTCCCGTTAGTTCTTACTTTTAATGTAAAAAAATGGCAACAACAATTTTACAAATTTTACCATAGAAAATCCGTGACGTAGTCAATTTAACGGCGCAGTGGCATAATCGCTAGAACATCCGTCTCCTACACCGTGATTCCGGGTTCTTCCACCTGGGGAACTTATTTTCCCCTTTTTTAATTTTTTTCCCTTTACCTACCTGTTTAGTATGTATTATTTTTAATTTCTTACTTTTTAATTTTAATTTTTAATTTTCAATGTCTTATCTTTTGATTTCTTATTGTTTTTTACTGTTTGGGATGGGATGGGATAGCATGCGATGGCATGGGATGGCATGCGATGACATGGGATGGGATGGCATGGCATGGCATGTCATGGCATGGCATGTCATGGGATGGGATGGGATGGGATGCGGTGCGATGGCATGGAATGGGATGGATGGATGGATGCATGGATGGATGCATGGATAGATAGATAGTTAGATTTTTTTGGGGTATTTTCCTTTTAACCAAGCGGTCGCCAACTGAGTAACGCCACTGATTTCCCCGGGCAACGCCGGGTATCCCTCTAGTTACCTTATAAAAGCTGTACGTTATCAACGATACATTTTCATACGCGACTTTGTGATAAGTCTACAACATGATTCTTTGGGAGTGTTATTATTTGTGAGTGATATTCTTTATGAGTGTTTGATTCGTGCTGAATTACGTATAGTAGTAGTACCCTCCGTGATGTGTGTAGATTCTGGTGTTGGTGTGAACACGAAATAAACGCAAGCGAACGACATATCTGTGTTTCTATCATCTTTTCATGCAGCGTACGTGGTCGAGAGTACAGGCACTTGAAGCGTTTCAACTGTAAACACACGCCGCCGCCATTGCGCGCACACTGACACATAAATATATAGTTATTATATGTTTTTGTGTCATATATTTGTACTATATATTGTACTATATATTGTACTATATATTTTATACTATTTATTTTGTATTTTTGTATGTATTTTTGTATTTTTGTATTTATTTTGTATTTTATTCTATATATTTTGTACTATATATATTGTATCATATATTGTACTATATATTTATGTGTCAGTGTGCGCGCAATGGCGGCGGCGTATGTTTACAGTTGAAACGCTTCAAGTGCCTGTGGTCGAGAGTACAACCACATAGTCTGCGAGTTGACGCGCGCGCAAATGACGCGCGCAAGTAAGATTATAAATTGTAGTTCTATTCCGTACAATTGAAAATATAAGTGATATAGGGAGTTCGATACGCGAGCGTTGCCATGGTGACAAACGGTCGAAAACAGGCGAGTAGCATCGGTTCAACGGCGTTTTGTTCCGCCTTCCTGCGAACTAAGGACATATTTATTGCTATAAATGAATTAACAACACCCTCAACAATTAATACCTCTGTAGATTTTGACGCGTCTACCCCCACAATTTCGAAAATGAAAGTGGGTCACATTAACTAGAGTAGCGCAAGTGCGCATTAGTGTAGTCGTACGTACGCAAAGTACATAATACAACATGGCGGCTCACAACAACAACATTTACACAGGCCAATGTATTTTCTTATACTGCAGTTCTCTATACGTTCGCACCACATGTTGAGTGCGATAGTGTTCATATTTGTTTACCGTCATAACATCGATATCCAGAGAGACATGATACAAGATTGCGTGGCACAGCTTTGCTGTTGATCCTGAGCGCTGCGCGCGGATGAGACGCGCAGTTCCGCGGGATATGCGCACGCGACCGCGGGGATGTTCAAGTATGAAGCGCTGTCCGCAGTGGAGACGTGCGCCAAATTCGAGGCCCAGCGCACGTCTCCACAGCGGTCAGCGGATGGTCTGTAGTTTTAGAAGATAACAATAAAGACTTTGTTCTAAATAAGAAATATCGGCGGCTAAATAAGAGTTCTTAACTAGTCAGTCAAAGGGCCTGTTGGGGGTCCATTATGGAGAGCTTCCAATTGAAATGGCCCATGAAATTGTCAAGTGGAATTGTGTTTTTCGGAACCCCAAAGAAAATGTCTCCCTCTTACATGCACCTCTTCCCTGATCAATCACGCATTCAGGCGTAAACAATAACAGAGATGAAATTGTGTTGATTTTATGGCTCTTGACGCACGTGCATTGACGTACAAGACTGATAAAAGCACAGGCACTTGGAACGTCTCAATAAAAATAAATCTTCACACAATTTTTCACAATGATCGACCGCCTGTGTGCAAAATAGGTGAACGTATGTGAAACATATACGGTTAGTACTTACTGTGACATATCCGTGACTAACTGACACCACTAAATTGGTAAAATGTTTCATGCACCTTAAAAAATGCTGAGAAATTACGAGGTTATCATCGCAGAACTCCCGTCAACGCCCATCCTGATGTCACAAAGCTATATGTAAACAAACACGCGTGTTGCGAAGTGCCTACCTCCGATATTCGTTTCGAGGCCCACTAAGTCAAGCATAAAGCGCGCGGGCAAGACGTCACACACACAGCTACGTTCATTCGCTAAAACAATCTAGCGCGGTTAACGATTTTCGGAATTATTTAATTTTAAGAAAAACTTCAATGTTTAATGAATGACGCACTCGTTCACTTTCGAAAGCGGGTAAAAATGCCTAATTTTTCAACTTCGGTGCGAAATGCATCGGCCGGGCCTTTCATTATTTACGAAAAGCAAACAGTCTCGCCAAACACCTACACGCAGTAACGGGTCACGTCGTTGACGCCCCATTCATGCCCATCAACAAAGAAGGCGGGGCTTATTCTAATTACGGAAATGGGAAAATGCAACAGAAGGACGTAGCGCAGTGCGCTAAACAGCGTGTTATTTTCGTATTTGTGCCAAACTCTATCGTAGGAAACCGTTCTAGCCTAGCAGAATTCCCTAGTTCCTGAGATCGGCGATTTAGTGGTCCATTGGATCCTCATATTTAAAAGTATAATACCCTGATGCGGCGTAGGCTGTGATTAGAAGACACAAAGTGTCAATCCTCGGCGCGCCTCGGCATCACGGCCGCATCACGTCTAGCGTTCTATTGCTAGCCGATTATATGTGCAGTTGTTATCTCGTACAACTCAATCAAATCTCGAACCAGGCCTACTTGTAAACATCGACGGCTACACAGGACATTCGTAAATCTTCTAGATGTTGGCGTAGAAACGCAGTTTAAACACCAAAACACACAATTCTTGCGATTCGGCATGCATGTCCACAGGCACTTGGAGCGTTTCAATAAAATAGAATGCTAAATAAATACGAAGTCTATTTACTACCAAAGTCTTAATGTTTCTCTAGGCCTACTCTCTTTCACCTATTATTGCCGACAATTTCCTGTAAATTTCGTACAAATGCTCATCTGCTACACACGCTGGCTGCCGCACGCTAGCTGCTGCACACTGACACAAAACTATATATTTATGACTAGGACTATATAACTTATTATTTATTCAAAGTCCAAACTACATTCAAAACTTCTTCCCAGCGACGTGATGAATTATTCTGTTATATATTATATTCTTTATGTATTTCACACACAAGCACGGTGGGTCGATCACCACGGCTACAGGGCCGTAGCCTGCGGGCGGGGGGGGGGAAGGGGGCAGCTGCCCCCTACATTTTGGAGAAAAAAAAAGTTCTACTAAAAGAGAATTGTCCTAGTCAGAATGAAGGCTGTACATGCACTCAAAAGTGCCTCAAATACCATCTCCTGCTATCTACATTTTTATTTTTTTTGTGGGAGGACCACCAGACCCCCCACGTGTTTCTCACCCCCTCTTTGAAATCCTGGATCCGCCACTGCCCTCCCCCCCTAAGATTTTGCTCAGCCTATACGGCCCTGGGCTACATCAATTGGTCCTTAAATCTGCAGTTATTTAGCATGAATATAGTGAATGTTGTGTATGTGCCAAAACTCTCTGGGTATTTTAATTCGTTGTCTGTCATACTTTAACTTATTCCGGGCTGCCAGAATTTTTCTCTATCTGAAGGCTCTGATGCCTGCTGCCTATAGACGCCCTCTACCGGTGGAAACACTTCTAATCACCAATAGCGAACGCTCCATTTTTTTGTATGCCCTAAAACCTTTAAATAAGAAATTGTGTCGCAGACAGGACTAAAAATATAACATCGTTCAAAACATGTATGAGTTTACAAACATGACAGAACCCGACTATATACGACACAAAAATCGATTGCAGGTGTTCTGAAATTTCGATCGCGATGGAGTGCTGAATCGATCGCTCCCCATCGCTGTCTGAGTGGTGACAAGATTCAAACAGTTTTATTTGTGCATATGACATACATAAATACACTGGCGGCAAGAACAAGTCGGCACCTGCAGCTACAGCACACACGCGGCCATTGACTATATATAACAACATGGAAGCCCTAGGCACCGTTAAGCAATCACGGGCTCTATTTACCTCCGCCAAGGGGTTGGCAGGAGATTATGTTTTCACCGGCGTGTGTTTGACTGTTTGTTTGTGGGTTTGTGGGTTTGTTTGTGTTTCTTTTTGTTTGTTTCTCGAGCACGCACACACATGCGTATATACAAACACACGCGCGCACACACCCACACACTCGCGCACGCAAAAATACATACGCCCCTGCTAGTACCGATAGACGCGCATACACGCATACACATGCACACACACACACATGCACATGCACATGCACATACACATGCATGTACGCATACACACGCGAGCACTCACGCACGCACACACACGCGCGCACATACACACACGCACTCACGCACGAACACGCGCACTAGCGCAAGTACAGCACACGCGCACTAGCGCAAGTACAGCACACACACACTCACACACTCACGCACGTACGCACTCACACTCACACTCACGCACACACGCGTAGGCAGGTCTAGGACCCCGGGCCTGAGCGTTAATTCGTTGTTCCGCAGGTGGGACTGCTGGCCGTACAAATCGCTAAGCTGCGAGGTCTGAATGTCATCGGCTCTGCGGGTACGGCTGAAGGTATAGAGCTGGTACGAAAGTGCGGCGCAGACCACGTCGTTAACCACAGAGACGCAGACTCGGCAGACAAGATCCTGGTATGTTCGTAGCAACGGCTAAATCATTATTTAAACATCGGAACAGGAGTAACACATAATATTGATATTAGCCGATAATGAACTAGGCAATGATTTAATTAGCGCAATGAATTCGTGAATTAATTCATT